TTTATTTCTATTATCCACTGTAAATGTCAAATGTTACTGCAAAGTCAGTTGCCCACAGGTAGATTGTGGGGTTCCAACACCTCTTCATTCCAAACCGCTCTGATGTTTCCCAGAGCAAGTGCAGGCAACTGCCACCGTGAGAAAGAGCCCTGTCACCTCAGCATCCCTCCCCGTTTTTGCGCTGCCCCTCCCTCCTCTGGCATCCCGGTGTGCTGCCTGGCGCAGAAATAAGTGCCCGTGTCTGCGGCAGTGAGGGCCCGCAGCTGCAGGGTGACCTTGCTCCTGTCTTTGTCTGCAGAGATGGTTACTCGGCTTTGGAAGGCTGGGGCGTAGCCTATGTTGTTCCCAAAAGGGTAGATCCAGCCTAGAAATTGCAGCTTCCCTCCTGGGGTCTGACGGACACAATTCCAGTCGTAGCGAGGGCTGTCCAGAGGGGCTCCCACTATAGTACAGGTGAGTGGGAGCGATCCAGAGACCTTCCCCTCCTTGGGACCAGATGCCACCATTTTTATTGGGGAACGGATGCCTGGAAAGATACGGGGCAGGTGTCTATGGGTGTGTTAGTCCATCCTGAGGAAGTAGGGTGGACAAAACCAGAATTTTGGCTTTTACACCCAGGAGGGGAACGGGGTGACTCTCACCTGTAACAGCTGCAGCCAAGCTCATGACCAGTATCCAGAAGAGCATTGCAGGATTCCCCCGAGGAATTGGCATGAACCAGCGTGTAGTAGGAAAATAAAATTGTGGTGCTGAGAAGGTCTCAGAGCTTCCTTGAGTCAGCAGAGAAACGCTCTGTCTTTCCAGTGCCGAAGGCTCAGGCTTCCCTGCAACTCCAGGCAGATTTGCAGCCTCTTCTGAGCAGCTGCACGCACTTCATGCGCTGGGGTGCTGGGTACATTTGTCACAGCTGATCTGGGTTGCGATAGGAAACCACATTCCCTTTTTTGTACTTCTTAGCCTGCACAGGAAACATGGGACCTCTCTTATCTCCCCAGGGCCCCTCATACCGGTATCTCTGAACCTCCTGCCACAGGCTGTGCCCTGTAGACAGCTGTGGCTGTGGAGGTGGCTGGAAGGAAGGGAGACAGGACTCATCTCAGCTAAAGCTTGTTGGAAATAGGAGGCTCTGCTCTCCCAAAAGGCAGCACGTTGCCGCTCCTGGTACTTCAGGAAGAAATCCCTCCCTCAAGACGCAAGATCAGAGCCCACCCGGACTGCAGTGCCCCTCTTAACGGGCAGCAGATGTCCCTGCGGCCCCACTGCAGCCTGGCTGCATCACCTGAGCCTCAGTGAGTGCCGTGGACTGTCCGGACAAGCACGGGCAGTCTCCAGGGCAGGACAAGGCAGCGTTGTTCTGAGCAATCCCCACTGGACTGTGACCAACACAGCCCCAGTCATGGCCACCAGGCCGGCCATCCGGGGGGGACGGGGTGAGATTTGAGCCCCAGGGGTTAAGAACGCAGGTGTCGGCTTATCTTTTGTGCAGACCTTGGGGATGGAGATGGACAAGCCCTGCACAGAGAAGCAGGACGGCCCTGTTCTGCCTAAAGAGTGCAGAGTAATGACTTCAAAGGCAGATAAGTCACTTCAAAACAGACTCATGAAGGCCATGGTGCCTGGAGTAACCCCTTTTCCTTCGTTATCCCTGAAATGCACGTTACAATTAACATCCCTGACTATGTTAATGAGCTTAACGAAGCACATGCTAAACATACATGACTATAGCACTCGACTCTACACCCAAATCATCACCTCAGGGAAACAGATAGGTAAGGTTAGGATATAATGGATTGTATTGGTTAGGCTGTGGTGGAGTTAATTTTCCCCAGCAGCTCTCTCGGTGCTGTGGTTTTGGAGTGGTAGTCAGAAGGGAGTTGAGAGCACCCTGGTGTTTTGGCTACTGCTGAGCAGGGCTCACACAGCACCAAGGCTGTGGTTTTCCAACGTTGCCCCAACAGTGGGCTGGGAGTGGGCAATGTCTTGTTGGAAGGGGACACAGCTGGGCCAGCTGACCCAAACTGACCAAAGGGGTATTCTAAAATCGAGAAGGAAGAGGGAAGCGGGGGAGCATTCGCTGTTTGTGTTTGTCCTCCAGAGCAACTGCTACATGTACTGGAGCTCTGCTTCCTGGGAAAGCGGCCGGACATTGCCTGCTGATGGGAAGTAGAGAATAATCTTTGTTTGGTTCTGCTTCCGCGTGCGGTCTTTACTTTCGCTGTATTCAACAGCTTTTATCTTAACCCATGGGCCTCTCATTGTAACTTCCCTCTCCCCTGTCCATCTAAAAGGGGGAGTGATAGAGCAGCTTTGGTGAGCCCCTGGCCTCCAGGCAGGGCCAAACCACCACGTGGATATTGAGGGAGCACATCCCTGGGTGGAGAGAAGCCCAGCAGGGGCAGTCGACGGGCTGTGCTCCTTCTCCTTTACCCAAGGCAGGGATGCCTCCTTGGTAGGAACTGTGCTTTCACCTTCTGGTGAAAAATACTGGGAATAGTATTGTGCTAGCATTGGTATGCCAAATCTGTTGTATCTGTCACTTTAATGAATTTCCTATTCTTTATCGCCTTGCAAATTGTCTTAACAGGGCTCTGAAACAGGCAAGCGTTAGCTCTGGTCAACCCTTCAATGCGCCAGCAGGGAGTGGAGAGTAAAGGACTTTCTTTGGGTACACAGGAACTCCAGTGATGTTGGAAATCCATGAGATCTCTTTGCTAGAATGGTGGGAAGGGATTCCCCTGTTATGGGGAGTCTGGCCAGCTGATCTCCAGCACCTCCCATCCCTTTTCTTGGAAGTGGAGCTAGGGCCTCCTCCTCCTTTCTTTGTGTATTTTACCTGGAAATGATCTCGGTGCCCTTCTTGCTCAGTGAGCAGCCAAGGCTGGGCTTACAACCCTCTAAACCTCTAAAGACAGCCTGGAAACAGGAGGTAACGTCTGAGGCCTTGAGCCCACCGAAGCTGTTTGCTCTGGAGAACAGCTGGGTAGGGACTTCCCAGCAAGGAGGGAGAGGTGAGGAGGCAAGCTCTGTCAGGCGAGGAGGCAAGCTCTCTCAGCCAAAGGCTGCGGGCAGTGTGGGACATGGAGTTGTCCTGACCTTTCCATGCCAAGGTGAAGGTACACCAGCAGAGCTGGAGCCAGAGGAGCACAGCTGGAACACAGGGTGTAAGAGGGAAGGGTATGGGTGAGGGAGAGCCACAATCTTGTTTTAAATGCTGACCTGGGAGCTTTCTTCACCTGCCAGTTATTCCACAGGCTCCCGTGACACGGCAGGGATGGAACAGGGTGCTGTGAAGTGACTCTGCATGTGCCTTGTGTGACTGTGAGCCTCGGACTCAGCTGTGTAGCTGGCAGGCTGGCTCTGGAGTCCCTGCCTGCAGGTGCTCGGGCTGTAGGGCCCACTTCCAATGTTCCTATGTCTCCCTCCTCCCCCTGTTGTCACTTGCTGCCGTTAAACCCCAGCAGATCCCTTCCTAAGTCCCTTGCTCTGTGTGCCAGCCACACGCCCCATTCTGGGAGATCTGAGGGCAGCTCAGATCATGAGAAGTAACTTCATGGGGGTGGGCAGCTGTGCTGACACGGGCACAGCAGTGACCAGGGTCACCAGCTGGCATGCAGACTTCTACCAAGGATGGAGATCGTCTTTCTTCAGCAATCCCTTTATTTCATTCACAGAAAGAAGGCTGAGAACGTTTCCACTGCACATAAAGAAGGAATCACCAACTGGCTTTAAAGAAAGTTATTAATTTTAAGGAAAGAAGCACAGTTTACCCAGTTATCTTCTACACCCTTCTCCAGAGAAACTTCTTCTCCCTGGCCCTTCCCATCCCACAAACATGCTCAGTGTTGCATGTTTCTGAAACAATGTCTGGGGCATTGGACATCTCACGCCTGCCAAAGTTCCACCTACTTACGCAAACCAAAAGAAAAATGATGCGTTCCTGCGGATGAAACATTACTGTTCAGTGCTGGCCATGGCTTTCCCGAGCGCCGTCCTCAGGACCCTTGACTGGCCCATGGAGAATCTCACTGAGGAGCTTGCAGAAGGATGCCCATAGTTGCTCCCAAATCACCATGCAGACACCTTGTTCCTTCTCGTGATTCCCCATCTGTCCTGCGCCTGCCTTCTGCTTCAGCACGCTGCAGGTGTCACAAACGGAGCCCCCAGCACCAGAAGGATGTGTACCTGTTGGAGCGAGTCCAGAGGACCACGAAGATGATCAGAGGCTGGAGGACCTCTCCTGTGAGGACAGGCTGAGATAGGCGCGATTGTGCAGCCTGGAGAATAGAAGGCTCGGGGGAGCCCATATCGTGACCTTCCAGTACCTGAAGGGGCTACAGGACAGCTGGGAAGGGACTGTTTACAAGGGTGTGTAGCGATAGGACAAAAGGCAATGGTTTTAGACTGGAGCAGGGGACATTTAGATTAGACATTAGGAAGTTCTTTACTATTAGGGTGCTGAGATGCTGGCACAGGGTGCCCAGAGAAGCTGTGGATGCCCCATTCCTGGCAGGGTTCCAGGCCAGGCTGGATGGGGCTTTGAACTACCTTTGGGAGGTGTCCCTGCCCACTGTGGGGATTTGGAACGAGATAATCTTTAAGGTCCCTTTCAACTCAGACCATTCTGTGATTCTATGAAATGGGCTGGTCTCCGTCATGACCGGGTCACTCTCTGAGCTAAAAGGGTCCCCTCCAGAAAAGCTCACATCCCCGCGGCCTGCAGCATCACCAGCCTTGCAGCCACCATCCCTGGGATCTGTTCACAAAAAGCCAGGCATTTTCTGCATCCCAGCAAGCTGTGCTGCCCCAGCCTCAGGATGGCAACTCAGAGACAAAAGCTGTAAGACAGTCCACAGCTCGTTCCCTCCGTCCCTCTGGCACGCATCAGAATCAGGAAACAATCGCCCCTGCTTTAGGTTTACTCCATTATGACCATTTCTCACAAGATCATTCTCTCAAGATCATTTATTTGGCTTTTACTGTACACCAAGAAGTGCTGTAGGCAGGATGTCGCCGATTAATGTGCACACAGAAGTTGTTTCTCGACTATTGCACTGCCCGAATAGCTCCAAGTAGTGAAGCTAAGCATTGATACGCTCACTGCCCCAGTAAGACAACTGAAGTCTGTCCGTCAAATGGAAGTCAGCCTCCGGCTCTCGTTGAGAGAAAGATTCCTATTTTCTCCACCCTTTGCTCTTACGTATTTTATAGCTCTCCAAGCTAGTGGGCTTTCTGTGCCATCCTTGAGGGGTTAAGTGTTGACATCTCAGAAATCTTACCTTTCTAGGTGCAGGACTTTGTATTTCCCATCGATGAATTTAACGAGGCTCCTCTCAAGCCATTTTTTCAGCCTGCCAAGGTCCCTCTGGGTGGCAGCAGATCCCCGTGGACAGCAGCAAAACCCCTCTAGCGTATCAATCAGTCCATCCAGCTGCGTTTCCTCTGCAGGTTTGCTGTGGCTGCAGATCATTCATTAAGATGCTAAGTAGTACTGGCCTCGTTACCAGGTACAGCACTGCTGACTGGTGACTGGGCTGCAGCTGGACTTCGTGCCTCTGATCACAGCACTGTCAGCCTGGCCACTCGGGCAGCGTGCACTCATCTCACTGTCTGCTGGTCTTCAGCAATTCATGAGTGAAGGTGTTACGGGAGACAGGGCTGGATCCTGCTTCCAACTGATTTTGAAGATG